CCTACTGCGGGAAAAAAATCTGCCTCGTCAGTCATGTATCGAAAATACATGATCACCTACGCGTGTATCACGCATGGCACGTAACTGACTGAAACAAACTATGATATGGACTTTGAAATACAGTACTGGAGCGGCAGTTTCTCTATTGGGAATTTTTTTTTGTAGTTAGGCTACTTTTGTTTTTGCTTTGAAATTACCGCAATAAGATCTCGTTGCAGGTTTGTTAAAGTTTCTTATCTGCGTCTCGCTTAAATGCGTACCCATTAAATACACTCAAATTTTTTTAAGGCTTCCTACTTAAATTAGCGGGCGTTTTATCCCATCAAATATGCTATATTGAACGCGTTCATAAACTGGAATTTTGCAAAAAATAACTTTGAAAATTGAGCGAGTAAATAATTTAAACCATAAACTTTATCAGTTAATCAGTTTCTTCTATCAAGTTAGAATCTTTTGGTTGAATTTCCTATTGGCCTCCCCAAGATTTGGTCTCCCTCGTTAACAGCTTTGTGAAAGCTTGCATTTATTAAAGCAAGCTTTGTCTGACACCCATTGAGTATCAGTTTTATTACAATAATGGTCTGCGAGATTAGCTTATCTTATTAATCATTCTTCGGCGGCGAGGTGCATGCTATCGAAAACTATTTTAATAATTTTTCATATTTTCGGTTTTCTGTTTCTTTGTTGTTAAGAAAATATGGCTCCAGTTAAATTCAGGCTTTAAACGAGTGATTATATTATTGACTAAGTAAAGGGACCTGGCGTTGTCACCTTCAAGAAATAACGAATACGTTACAATTCAACTTCTTATTGCCTACGAAAAAGTAAACGTTCATTTAAATACAACCTAAAAAGGTTTTTCGCAGTTGGAACTGACAAATGATGAGGTTAAATAAATAATAAATAAATAAATAAATAAAAATTCTCGAAGTGGATTAACTCGATTTAAACATGTCGCACAAGAGCCTTTCAATTGGAATATTACCAATCATTCGTCGAAAGAAAAGTTCCTCAATAGAACGGGGATTAATCATTCGAATGCTTGGTAAGAGTAACAGAAGTTTTCCAAAACGAGGCTGTACTGTAGAATATTGTCTGGACGTGTAGTCACTCAGCATCAACTGTGCTTGGTCCTGTAGTCGGTCCACTTGCTTTGAATCCCGAAGTCCGCGTACTTCTGCAATAAGACAAAGGAATAAACATCTATTTGATAATAGAACACACAATGTAGCTTTTTATATCTAGTAAGCACGAAGTATGTACCCCCTTTCTTAACTCTCTCTCTCTCTCATTATGTATGTATATATATATATATATATATATATATATATAATAAAATCCAGTGACTTGGTCGAAACCAAATTATGAGGAGAAGTGCAAACAGGTAAGGGAGTACAAAGTACAATTGGTTTTACTAGGGTGCATAGCTTAGTACAATAAATTTTCGGAAAAAAATAAGTTTTATTATTTAACATACAAAATACTCCGACTATTCTAAAACAATTTAATGATTAAAATAACAAATACTTATTCAAAAACCAATATTGCATTTTTATCAAATATCTTTTTATATATACGAGAATCCAGTTTCCAGTTCACCTTGGATTACTAAGACCTATAAAGAAATCACAAGACGAAATGCTTCAAAAAGTTGGAATGAAATATTTACGCATGGTCAGTTGTATGTTGCATGCTCAAGAGTAAGAAATCCTAAGAATTTATTCTTCAGTGTCGTATTAAATTAAACTAAAGAAATTATTAAACTGCAAAGAGTTTTTGTCAAAATATTTTCCCAAACAAACCAGCTTATTCAGATCTCATCGATTGGTTTGCGAAATTGAACGAAACGTAGTGTTTATAAATCTCGACAAAATATGTTAGCGATGAATTCAACAATACTAAATACTGTGAGGATTTGAACACGCGTCAGCAGGTTGCCAAAAAATCTGGTAATATGATATTTCTCTTGTTATAGCAACAGAAGGCGTTATTCTACGCCAATAAGCCAGTATGTGTTATCATAATAGAATATATCACATTATTATTATTATTATTATTATTAACGACATGCCCGATGGCATTAGCTTTCAACTTGGCATCTACACAACCATTTACTCCTGTTTCGATACTAAGTCTGATTGGTTCGATAAGGTCAAATTGGTGACTGATGTCAAAAACAACCTTCAGTCTGTTGTTAACTGGGGCAAAGGATGGCTTGTTAATTTTAACGCCTCTAAAACTAAACTGTTTTCTATTAATTATCTGAGAGAGTCCTTTTCTGTCTTCCATCAGCATGGTTGATGCTAACTTCCAGGAGAGTATCTCGTTGCGCCTTCTCGGTTTAACGTTATCAGTTGACATGAAGTGGCAAAACTATATTGAACCCATTGCTAGGTCTGCTGCCAAGAAAGATGACTCATTGTGTCGTCCTAGACAATTTTTCTCGCCTGAATCTATATCTAAAAGTATGTCTTTTGCACGGATGAGCTCTTCGCTATGGTACACACAGACTTTATGAATTTAAGCGCAATACTAGACTGGCGACGAGGTCTCATCAATATACAATTGAGTTGGCTAGATGTAATCGTAAGTTCTAGGCTAATAGTTTAGTAAAGTTTCTGTTTTCTAATTCTTCCACACCCAGTAATCCCTTGTGTCCTAATAATATTGGAGAAATCGATTAATATATATATATATATATATATATATATATATATATATATATATATATATATATATATATATATATATATATATATATATATATATAAGCAAATATATGGATATAGATCCGACAGTATGAAGAAAATATACAGAAAAAACAAACAAAAATCTTAATATGCAATTATGCTGTATTAATGTTAATACGTCGGACGTTTCGGTCTATTTTAGACCATCATCATCAAAATAGACCGAAACGTCCGACGTTGACTTTATATTAACATTAATACTACATAACTGCATATTAAGATTTTTATTTGTTTTTTTTTCTGTATATTTTTCTTCATACTGCCGGATCTATATCCATATATTTGCTTACATACTGTCTACTGGAAATACAAACCTGAATTTAATTTATAACATGGAAGACTTCAAGCTTGTACGAAAATATAAGAATCTATTGATCAAGTAAGGAAAGGATTTATTAACGAACTGTTTTAAAATTGTTCCATCGTGCCTGTCTGATATTTTGAAATCATTTTTGATTTGTTTTGTAACGTGGAGGACTTCAAGCTTGTATGAAGATATAAGAACCTATTGATCTCTGCGTATTCCTATATCAACGGAAGGGATTTCTTGAACTGTTTATATAAAATAGTTCAATCGACCTTTTTTAATATTTTAATATTTGGAAATCATCTTCGAATACGTTTTCACATCACCCACGTGACGACGACGTGATCATATTTAAACTGAACGCTGATCTTATATAAAAATTTCAGTTATCTGTTTGGATTAGTTGTGCTCTTATGTCCATCGTCTTTTCATGTTGAATTTTATATGTTCTAATGTTAATTATGTTTAATGAAAATGCCCTGATGATGGTCTAAAATAGACCGAAACATCCCAGGTTGTTGAGATGAACAAAAACGAATGAAAATAAAAGACAAGTGTAACAACTTTTATTCATTTACTACCTGGGAACAGCAAGTATTACGTTGTCTTTAAACTATAAATTCGTCGTGCGTGTCAGCTTGTCACCATGCTGAATTCATAAGTGCCTACTCTGACTAGCGGACAAGGAAAGTAACTCAGCTGAATTTTGAGTCATTGTCCTTTATAGGGTGAGTAAGTTAGCATCCCCAACAATTGCAATTGTAAAATTACTTAAATATTTCCACCATTTTTTTTTTGACAATACTGGTAAACGATTTCGGAACGAGAATCTATCAGCAAGAATTGGTAAGTGAAAGAGAATATTCAACTTAACAATTCTTAGTTAGCAAAAGTAGAATCTGTTGGCTTGATTAACACTGAAACAGTATTATACGGAAAGACAAGTGTACGATATTATATTTATGTACAAATATGAGTCAAAGCCTTAGTAGAAGTTATTAAAAGTTCCATGTTCTCAAATAAGTTAACACACACTAGGAATAATAAGCAAAGAGAAATAATAACAAAAGAAAAGAAAAGCCTCTTGAATGTTAAAGCGTTTCACCAGAGATAATCATGTTTAGCCGATATCTCTCGAGCCATGTGATGTGGAAAGTGTCGTTCGTCTAATTTTCCAGATGAGAAATGACTCCCTAAGCTGGCTTTAATTTTCCTGTTCCTGCGGGTTTGTCACATGGAGCCTTATTAACCTTTATCACTTTGCATTATTAATATTACTTCCCTTTCTGCTGCATTCTTTTTCAAGGCTTCTCAATTGCATTTCTCGATTGTTAATTTCACTCAATGTTGTTTTGTTGCCATAGAAGGATATGACAACACAATGATGAAATTAAAACACACTATTGTTCAGAGATCAGAGTCACCTTCAAGATAAACCTTTTTGTACAGCAAATGAAGTCACATACAGAATGATAAAGGTTAACATTTGAACTGTATATACTTTATATGTAAGTGCCGAGAATTATTTTTGTGTTTCAACATATCTTTATCGGACTTTTTTCCATTACTCTCAATCAGACATCCGTTTCCTCTAAGATTAATCACAGTTCAGCGTTTAATTACAAAAAATAAGTTATGATTTCAATTCACCAAAGCCTTTTTTTATACTAATGCTCACACAAGGCTCAAGAGCCACTCATGGTAGAGAGTTACAGTGTATGAGCGCAAGAAAAGGCAAGAGAAGTTTATGGAGTTATGCAAGAATGATAACTGTTAACATTAGATTTGCAAGTGTAATTTTAAAAACAGGCAGGCAGGTGGGCAGGCTTTCACTTGGAAAATTAGCGTTGCACAATCTTCCAAATGTCCTAGCAGTACATTAGTGTACGTGTAAATACCTAATACCTATATGATATATCTACGGCAAGTATTGAAAAAGGTCATTATATCTTACCTGGCCGGAAGAGAGTGATAGCTTTTAAGCATGCGTATTCCGTTGCATCTACGTGTAATTCATTGCATCGGGCAATAATGTCTTGCAGCAGTCGCAGTTGAGTCATCATGAATGTTGTCTTTTCGGCGTGTTGAGCATCAAGACTCCAACCATTGGCTGTTAATAAAGAAGCTAAAAAAATATAAAAAATTTGACGTTAACACCGTGTTTTTCACACACGTTTGAGTTTTTGATTAATTTTTTTTACGGCTTATAACTTTTGCAGGTAATTTAAAGACAGAAAATATTTTTAGTTTGTAAGATATTTGGGGGGTCGATAATGCTTTTCTGATGCAAGTCCTACTAATTAACCCATAGCTGGGGGGAAGAGGTGGATTCATAACTTTTCCAAGGGCATCTGCGTGTAAGTGGATATAAAAACCCTGACTAGAATTGAACATCGGCTCTTCGATTTCCAATTCAGACCCGTTATTTCCAAACTGTCACCCATTTAGTTACTGACCAGGCTCGAATTTGCTTAACTTCAGTGATCGTACGAGAAGCGGTGTTTCAATGTGATATAGCTGTAAGTCCCCGATGTAGTTTGATTTTCTTGTCAGCGATTTTAACGATAATTATTTAAAGTGAAAGAAGGTATAGGATTTAGTATCAGTAGCTTTATTTTGGTTTGTGAGTTTTGCGTACCGTGTCCCTTCAGGACGTGGGCGATAGCGGCTCTCCACAATTTCCTATCTTTTGTAGCTCTTAGCAATATTTGTCTTCTTACTATCTCTCCTAGTCCCTGTTCTGCCATAAATTTGCTCCTATTTATCAGTTGGTAATAAAAACCCACGATAGAGCATCATAAATATTCTTTCTTTTCAATTAAAACGTCGCCAAAGATCATTTCTCGGGGCCTGTCTGGAAACGAATCTGAGCTTTTTTTTTTTTTTAACAATGGTGTTCACCCTGTATATGGCCCGGGTGCCACTCAAGATAGAGGGTTATAGAATAAGAGGAACAGCTTATGTGAATGCATCCTCTTGGGAGTCGGCCCCACAAGAGAGTTTGTGGGAAGAAGCTACTCGAGTGGAACTTTCATCTCAACAATGAAATACGAAGGGAATGAAGATGATTCGCTACAATGTGCGTGGCATGAACCAAGGATCGTGAATTGTTGAGATAATGAATTGTAGCAATTTCTCCACGCCGGTTCAGGAGAACACGAAACATCCTCACACTACATTAAACATAGGGAAGGGGTTATTCAAAAAACCGCTGAAAACAATTGGGGTCTAACTGAACCTCTTTTTCATCATTGATGCAAACACATTCTAGCTGGCCACTCGTATTCGCGGATACTCGTCTATTAGGGCGGCTAGCCAATCCCTATTGCAGACGATCGCCCAGGCACATTTGTGTTCAACACCTACGGATCCAACCTGTGGTTTATACTGCAACGATTCTGAGCAGACCTTAGTCACAGTTTCTGGGAAATAGCGTGTTATCTAGCGTGATCAACAATCTAAACAAGGCCAGCACACTCAAACTTTCGGTCACGATGACTTGTGACTTCGTGCTAGCACAGCTATCGACGGCCCCAACAAGGCTTGGGTCAACACGTGGTATGGTTTTCAGGCACTTTCCAAAGGTTCCGCACGCTGGGATCGTCTCCCCCTTCTCCAGACCGATAACATCAGGAAGTCCCCTTCTTGATAAATCGACCATGGTGAGATTCGAACCCGGTTCTCATGGTCAGAAAGCAAACGTTCTAATCACTCGGTCACGTGCCTATATATTTTTCGGTGTAGTACTATGTTAATGGTTGACATTTTAATTAACAGATAAACAGTACTCATAGTTTAACGTTATCTTAAGTTTAACGTAATGTGATATGCTCAAATCCGGATAAAGACTTCAAATTTAAAAGACACCTGCATGTCACCTCTTCAAAAAATGCAATAAAGCAGTTTCTAATTCTCAACGACTATAAATGTAACAGTACGTGCACGTTATCAGCAAGTAAAGAGTACAAAATCTAACCTCAAAAATTTGAAAAAGGTATGACGTCATTTCTTCTTTTTCTCCCAGCTATGGATTAAATAGCAGTGAATGACTGGGCTCTTTAGCTTTGGTCGCCAACCAGTTTAAGAGAAAAACTATTGAATTCAAAATCGGTTGAATGTGGCGTTAGCGACCTCTACTTGCTAATGACACCACAGCAGTGTCAGTATAGTTTAGCAATGGCTCTGTTTCTCAGGGACTCTATAACTTGAAGAAGAATAAATTAAATGCTTTATTATTACTGACGCAGGTGTACTCTAATATTTTCATAAATTTATATAATTACATTATAGAAGACATTTTTGATACAGACGAAAAGAAACGTCTGTTTAAGTGTAAACACCAATATGAACTATTTTTTATATCAAGGTTAGCATCAACTATAAGGTAAGCTTTTCATGCCAAAAAAGAAAAAAAAAAACAACTTCATACACGTTTAATTTGTTAATGATTGAAGATTCGGGTAACGCCATAAAATTAACAAATGAATACAAATCGTGTGCCGATAATTCAGCGTTACTTACCTACATCGATGGGCATTGACCATTGTGAAGTGCTGAGGACAAACAGTTCGCTCCAACTTTCTTCCAAAAGAATTGCTTGATCTCTAAAAGGTTGCTGCAGAAATGAAGGAATGTTTCGAGCCCACTTGACAGACATAAACAAGAGACGGGCCGCCGTTTCGTAAACGTTCTCCACTCCATTGCTGTTGACGTAAAAATGCTGGTCAGGTCCAACAAGGCCACTGGTCAGCATGCCAAACGGCGGTTGGTAGGAAGACGGGCTCATGTTAACCGCAGAGGCTGGAATCACTTTGTAAGGAAACGACTGTGGATGGTTAGTGTTTGGCCCTGTCGGTGGATGAGTCGAAGTGGTCGTGCTTACAGAATTCTCTTGCGAAGTTGTACCGGATGATTCTGAAATTTTAGAAAGAAACTTTCATTTTATTAAGAAAGCAACAGACGTCGTTTTGAAGATGATGATGATGCTGGGCGCAACACAATGGCTGATAAAGAAGGCTTTTGTCGGAGATTCTGGGATCAGGAATAATCATTATAAGTTTTGCTATTCGTACCAACATGTTTATTTTGGTTGTTATACTCACAACGTTTCGGTCGTTGTGTTTTCCGGTCATCTTCAGGTGTCTGCCTTCGTAATTTTCTCGGAATTTCGAACTGAATCATTTATTCTACGATTGTAAAATGTTCTCATTCCGCTTTCCATGTTTAGAGAATATCTTATATCTATAATTTTCAAAATGTGTATGTGCGTGTGTGATCGGATGTTGTTTACGCGTTTCTACAGTTTTCATCCAATTTTGATGAAATTTTTTTGTTTGATAGCTAATTCTTCAGTGCCGGTTTTGAGTCCAAATTGGCTGGAAAAAAATTACAGCCTTGAAGGTGAAAAATCGAAAAAACTGATTTTTTACATTTTGCGCAAAAATCAGAGGCAGAATTTAATGTCTGTAAAAAATAGCTTACAATCAATTTAGAGATTTGAAATCTAGCGCAAAAGATTATTAGAATTATTAAAAAAATATATATTATAAATAAAAATTATCGTATATCATTATTATGACGGCCCAGGGAAAAAGATTCCTTCCTTGCAAGATTGAGAACGCACAAACGACTCTTTTCAGGGCCAACCACATTCAAATTGTTACCCCCTCCCCATTTGGGGATGTGCATCAATTGCACCCAATTGTTGTTACTAATTTTTCAGGTTGGCTGACTTTAAATTTAAACTGCTCCAATTGAATGGTAAAAATTCTCAGTAATGAAACACCCGGTCGACGACAGGTTATACTGCTAGTTTCCTATATGTTAATACTTACCGGTCATATTCACATATGTGCCTGTTTATTATGGTCGTCGTCCTCTCCACACTTCTTTACGCCTGTGAGGCCTGAACTTTGTATTGATGGGACATCAAACGTCTACAACGGTTCCAGCAAACGAAGCCCTGGAGAATCCTTCGCATCAGATGGGAGGACCGCATCGCCAACAACGAGGTCATCTCTCGGACATCGCTCCCCAGCATCGAGGCTAAAATCCTTCAACATCATCTCCGCTTCGCGGACGGGTCACGTGTTCAGAATGCGCTCAATCGACTCCCGCGTATCACCGTGATTGGAGAACTCGCCATCGCTTCAAGGATCAGTTGAAGACATCCCTGACGCAGCTAACCTGAACCGTGAGATCTAGCTAACCGCTGCTGCAAATCTGCCTTCCTGGCGTAGGACCATCCGGGGGTGGGGGATACTGAGACTTTCGAGTCCAACCGTTATCTGCGACATGGTGTCAGGAGGGCCCGACACGCCCAGCCGCGTCCACTACCCACATTCCTTTGTGACTCCTGCTCACGACTCTTAAGGAGTAGGCTGGACCTTCACAGCCATCTCCGTCACCGCCACCAGAAGGAAGAAAGGGAATAAGGAGAGAGGATGTCGATCCCGATGATCGGATGCGATCGGGTGCTAACTCATTCGATCCAATTTAAATGTAGTACTTCAACTTATTTTACTTACGTCCTTATTGTTTATAACGGTCATAAATTCACTGCCTATACACTCCTGATAATGCAAGACGTCAATCATATGGAGCGGTTCTAGCAAACAAAGCCCTGAAGAATTCTTCGCATCAGTTTAGAGGACCGCATCACCAACAACGAGGTCCTCTCTCGGACATCGCTCCCCGGCATCGAGACAGCCATCCTTCAATATCGCCTCAACTGGGCGAGTCATGTTCAAAAAGCCGTTCCAATCGACTCACACGTATCATCCTGTTTGGAGAACTCGCCAGACGCAAGAAGCTCCGGGGTGGTCTAAAACGACGCTTCAAGGACCACCTGGAAACATCCCTGACACAGGCCAACATCAACCCTGAGACCTGGGAAACCGTTGATGCAAATCTGCTTTCCTGGCGTAGGACCATCCGAGGTGGGGTAACCGAGACTTTCGAGTCCAACTGTCAACATGAAGAGGATCTGCGACATGCTGTCAAGAGGGCCCAACTAGCCCAGCTGCGTCCACAACCCTGGGACTCCTGCTCACAACTCTTCAGGATTAGGCTGGGCATTCACAGCCATCTCCGTCACTAGGAGGGAGAAAGGAAATAAGAAGAGAGGATGACGATCCCGATGATCGAATATAAGCGGGTGCCGACTAAGACTGTTTATTCAGTTTATCTGTTTGTTCCACTGAACCATATTATGTGACTTTTCAGTACTACCATACCCAGAGATTGAACTCGCAACTGCTATGGAATCTGATAGGTTTTAACCTACGTCCAGTAATTCTATGAGAGATGAACACCATATAAGAGACTGATCAAGACAGATTCAAAACAATGTCCTCTGCCTGGGTCAGCACACTCACACAGTCCCACCACCACAGACATTAGGTTTAAGGCTACAGAATGTCAATACTAGTTTGTCCGAAAAGTACACGGCCTAGTCGGTTAAAACGCTAGTCTTATTCATTGAATAAAGAATTCTGTTCAAAATTCCAGGCTTATGGCCATATCACACTGAAATATCGTTAGGCAACGTCCAGCCTGGTCAGTACCTAGATGGGTGACCGTTTGGGAATACCAGCGGCTCTAAGTTTGGATGTGCGGATGGTGTAATGGATAACGGCTCAGAATTGTTAATCGGAGAGTAGGGTTCCAGTTTCTGTTGGGTTCGTTATATTCACTTACGCACAAATACCCTTGGGAAAGGCATGAATCCACCTCTTCTCCCCCAGTAAAATTTATCACTAAATCCTATTTAAAAAAAAAAAAAAAAAAAAAACGATTTCAAAAATATTTATATTTTAAATAATCCTGTAAAGGGTTAGTAATCCAGACAAAGCAAATCAATCAATTAATCGAAATTCCAAAAATGTTACCGAATGTAGAGACACCAGAGGGCGGCTAGAGAGTGTAATACTTCAGTACGCTGGTTCGAATAGCAAATCATATACTAAAACGGCTTATATATTGAAAGCCGGATTCAAGTTGGAATTTCTAAAATTTGCAGAAATGTATACTCATTATTGGTGGTTAGTGAACTTTTTCGCGAGAAAAACTAATATGGCTAGCAATTACAAAAAAAATATTCGAACTTGAAGCAAAAAAGAAAAAAAAACAACTATTAAGAAGACAGAATACATAATTGTCAGTAAAGAGAACAATTGAAGCTTCGAGTTACGCATCATAGACGCCCAAATCAACCAGATGTTTAACTACCTGGGCATTATAGTTACAGACAACGGATGTTTGATACAGAAATCCAAAATCGCATAACAGAGAAAGCAAAATATTTAGGGATCGAAGAAAACGTTCTCAGAAGCAAAAGAATCTTGGACGGCTATGTAATGTCTAAAATCCTATGTAGCAGTGAATGTTGAACAATTTCGTCACAGCTGAAAAAAAAATCTTGATGCGACAGAAATATGATTCTATTAACGAATGTTAGGAATACTGTGAAAACATTATGAGAGAAAAGGGAAAGTATTCAGAGGAAATGAACACAAATTACTGCTAAAATTCAGAAATAAACAGCTGACATTGATACATAATTAGAAAATAAGGCTTGAAGAATCTAACGCACCAAAGATGGGAGAAGCAGTGAAAAGCAGTGAGTAGCAAACCTGAAAGGCTTGTGCAAGTGCCACAAAGGTAAAAAAGGGTCTTAAAACATAGAAATAGCAAAAAGAAAAGAAAAGAAAAGAAAAGAAAAGGAAAAGAAAAGAAAAGAAAAAGACAAGAAAAGAAAAGAAAAGAAAAAGAAAAGAAAAGAAAAAGAAAAGAAAAGAAAAGAAAAAGGCAAGAAGCTGTGGAATGCTATGATGTTGTCACGTGGCCACGACGCCTTCAAGCTTTCGGGAGAAAGATTTTCTCACTAAATACTGAGGCAGTTTGAGACGCCCTGAATTTCAGCACACATTAACAATATTATTATATATAAAAAGAAAACATAAGACAACGGGTCTGTCTGACGGGTCAAAACTCATTAAATAAGCAACAAGACAAATGCTGGGGAAGTTTATATAAAATTTTATGTAACAGCAAATGAGTTAACTGCAAAAGCAACAACAGAACAAAAGAATGACTATGAAAATATATACAGTAGTCCGGGATCGATAGTATTCGACGCCACAAAAATGAATGAGGGTGAATCAACGAAGTTCCTCTCTTTCCTTTGTGGAATGGTGTATGCAAACTTTGGTGGGGTTATTGAATGTTTATCAACAAGGGCGAAGCAAATGATATTGGTAAATTTGCTTTTCAATCCCCAAGCTAAATATCTATTAATAATTTTCGAAATCTTCATATTTCCGTCTAAATGTACATGCTGAACTCGAATTAACAATTACAATTATGATAAAACCTACCGTTTTGGACTTATCGACCAGACAAAAAAGTTCGCACATTAATTATTATTTCGTTCTTTTTTTTTAAGCATTCAACCCAAAGCAAGGCGGGAAGCCACTACACGCAATGGGGTTACAGAGTTGGAGCGAGAACAAAGATGGGTGATAGAGGAAAGGATGAAGAGAATTAATTGAGACAATTAGAAGGGGCTCCAGACCATATATGGCAGCAATACTCCATGCAAGCGCAAATGGTTGATTTGTAGAGTTGAAGGATCGACTCCGGCGAGAAAAATTTCCTTCAGTGTATTCGTTTCATCTCAGGTAAGCGGACAATGTGAGACCGAGCGGTCGCAAAGAGGTGCTCTCGTGGATTTAAGCGTCAGACATTCTAATGGGAGGCAGGGATGGTTCTCTCTGGTGAGTAATAGAGAGTAGTTTTGTCTTTGAGGCATTAAAGTTAACTAGCCAATTCTTGCCTCAGTCCACAACTGATTGGCGGTTCTTTTCAAGACAAACGGCCAGGTTAGTTTTGTCGGCGACACTAGATTTGTTTTTGAGGCAGGAGTAAATAGTAGTGTCGTCTGCAGAGATGCTTACTTGGGAACCTATGGCATCAGAAAGATCGTTAATGAAGATAAGGAACAGAGTAGGGCCTAGGATGGAGCCTTGGGGAACACCTGCGTTCGTGGGATAGGAACTGGAGGAGAATCCGTTGAGAACGAACTTCAATGTACGGTTCGACAGGAATTATTGTATTAAATCGAACAATCGGCCTATAATTCCATAACCCTGAAGCTTGCGAAGAAGGCCGGCATGCCAAACCCTATCAAACGTTTTGGACATATCAAGAGCTATGGCACGAGCTTCTCCGTTATTATGAAGTGCTTGGTAAACAATTTCAGTTATGGCCGTAAGCACATCAGCTGTAGAACGGGCAAAGCGGAAACCATATTACTTGTCGGTGAGCAGATTATGGGATGTAAGGTGCACAACCACTTCGGCGTTGATTAAAGCTTCAAAGACTTTGCCGAAGAGTGGTAGGAGACTGATAGGACAGTAATTAGGAGGGTCAGAAGGGTCTTCAGAGTTCAGAGGAACAACGCATGAGGACTTCCAACAGGGTGGGAAACAAGATTCGTTGGGGCAGTAGTTATATAATTTGGAGAGGGCAGGAACCAGTTCAGACGCACATTTCTTCAGGACAATGGCTGGTATCCCATTTCCCCCACTAGCCTTGTGGGGATCTAATTTAGAGATGATGCCCAGAACCGATGACTGGGTTATGTGCAATTGAACCTCAGTTCGAAGGGGGAAATCGGGTGTGGGTACACCGGAAGAGTCGATCGTTGAATTGAATGAGAATTTCCGAGCAAAGCATTCAGTCTTGTCGACAGAAGAGGTCAGAACCTCAAATTGGTTGAACAAAGGAGGTATAGAGGGTTTGCTATTGTTAGGTACGCTCTGGCAGAGACGCCAATAATCCTTGGAGCCGATATTTTGTAGATAATCATGCTCTTTACAAAATAAGAAAATGCTATATTTTATTATTTAATTTGTTTTTTTTTTTAATTTAAAAAGAAAGCTTTTCTATAAAAAGCAAAAAAACGACAGTTGAAGAAAAAAACAAAAAAATTGTCAATGCTTTTCGACACAACCTAAGTGCGTAGTAATTTACCGGTTGTTACAGCAGTAAACGCACTAAATAGGCCAAAATATATGCTTGCGCAAGGAAAATGATCCGGAGTGAATCTAATTGCACAAATCTGGTAATGGTGGGAGAATGACCGCGATTAAATCCGATTTTTTTCTGGTCGATAACTCCAAAACGGTAGGGTTTACATAATTGTAATTGTTAATTCGAGTTCAGCATGTACATTTATACGAAAATATGACGATTTCGAAAAAATATTAATAGATATTTAGTTTGGGGATTTAAAAGAAAATTTACCATGATATTTATCTTGATTCTTCATATTATTATTGGAATCATATTGGAATCTTCATATTAATATTATTATTGGAATCTTTCCCTTCCGTTTTTTCAATTTTGTTTTTATTCCCCCCCACCTCTCATTTTGAGATAAGTTTCTCTCTCTGTCCTTGATTTTTCTTCGTTCGTATTTCCACCGCGTGATTCTCGGCATTTTGTTGTACATGTCCACGCAAATACGTGGTTCAAATCTCCGTTAGGTCAGTTCTTTACAATTGTTTTCCCCCAAGACATGTTAACATGATGAAGGATTTTAGTTAAGTTGGCTGGGAAGTTTAATTCTTTCCCCACTTCATCTATTGTCAGGAACATTTCATATCGTCATCCGTTTTTTCGCAATCAACAGGCTCCGACTGACATTTCCGCCACGTGCTTTTCTTTTTCCCTCGCTCGTCGTTTCAAATGTTTCGTGATTCCTCCCGCTACTCTCTCTCTCTACCTTTCATCGTTGCCGATATTTTATCCAGGTTCTTTCGATGTCTCTTGGTTCACCTCTAATTAAATCAGTTGTATATTTTGAATTTTGGTTTGCCATAAAGAAATACAAACAAAAAGATAAGGAAAAAAAGAAATAAATAAAAGAGGCTAAAAGGTCTTCATTCCTAAATGTACGTGAAGAAAAGGGAAGGTCAAATGAGTCCTGAGAACCAATCAGAAATCAAGAGACAATTTTGAAATAAATTCCTTTGTCGAGAAAAAAAAAAGGATAAACTTAAAAACGACCAGGCAAGGCAAACAGAGAGTCGATGAAGTATTTCGTCCGTTCACGCATGCCCTAAATTTTCGGACACCTCAAAATCCCACAGAGAGTCAAAAGGATTATTACTATCAAGAAATAATAATAATAATAATAATAATAATAATAATAATAATAATAGCTGGCCACTCGTATTCGAGAATACTAATTCAGACGCTCTCTCAGGCACATTTGTATTTGTTCAACACCCACAGATCCTATGGAATCCTCCATACTTGCCTGTCACCCTCCTACAGGAAGATGCACTCTTCCCCAAATTAACCTTTAACCAATCATCACTTCACTTTTCCAAACTTAACTTCCCATTGTTTAAAAGGACACAAAAATGTAGCAAGTTGAGACAAATCCTTTTTTCCTGCACAGCTGTCTAGAGCCTATTTGAAAACCCAAAAATCTATAAAAAAGAATCGCTCAGTTAGACACCGAGTTTCGAGAGATGCCATCAGACTCCACGCGTACAACACACTGACTCAATAACAACACAACTCGCACTACTATTGCCACGGGAAGAAACTTAACTTACAATTTACTAAAAAAGTGACATTATCACTACGAAATAGTAATTGTACATTTAATCAAATTTAGCATATCAGTCGAAGGCACACAATTCTTCATAACTTGAATCAACACTTACAATTGTCATACACATACACATTATTATTTGAACTCACATAATTGACATTTTACCTTTCACAAATCAAACTGTTTTAATTTCACAAACTTAAACCATCAACATTCATTCACCAAATCTCTGCATGGACACTTTGCAATCTTATCACACTTGCCACGTTTAACTTGCCACGTTTGTGTATGTCAAATATATATATATAAATTCATATTATTGTTGAAATCTATAATTACGTTGTTTTTTCTTTGATTTCTTAAAGTTGTATTGTCTTCATACGTTCGTTTAATTTATTTGTTGTAGATAAATGCATAATGTACACGCACATTTTAGGCCTTCACACAATTTCAACTTCTGACACATCTTACTTAGCATAAAGTCTGCAACAAAATTGATGACCCCAACGTCTCAAGCAGAAATTGGTTACTCCGACGTTCCAGCAACTAAAAAATTTGGCAACCATGACGTCTCAATTAAATTGATAAACACAACATTTCAACAACAGAAAAAATGATAACTCCTGGCACACTACACATCATTAACGAACCAAGCAGCGCTGACAACGGCTAACACCCATCACAAAACCTGCAACTGTTTACCCGTTAAAAAGGCGCCAAGCTCAGTTCTTCTTTCCCTCCAAAAAGGAACCGAATTAATATGGCTGAACCCATGCCACCAACTGAAGCTGCACTCAGAACTTCCAACGTATGGTACCAGCGCGCAAACGTGGTTCGTCCAGCTTGCTGCAATTTTCCAGGCGACGCATATTACTTCACAATAATCCAAATTCGCATTTGTGGTGGAGAAGATACCTGCCGACGTGGCATCGGAGGTAGCGAATATCCTTACAAATCTCCCACAAGATAAACCTTACGAGGTGCTCAAACAGGCTATACTCTAACGAACAGGTTGCTCGGAAGAACGCAAAATTAAAGACCTCTTAAATAACGTAACCCTGGGGAAAAATAAACCTTTCTAACTCTTACGCAAGATGCAAACCTTGCTTGGCACCAATACTATGTCTGAGACAGTATTAAAACAAATGTGACTAGACAATCTAAACCCGGACGTAGTTCAAATTTTCGCTGCATTAACTGACGAAGTGGGTATCCAAAAATTAGCAACAATAGCAGACAAGATTATTGATACCCGACCAACTCATCAAATCGACTCCGTCATGCCGTCAACAATTCGCCTCCAAACACCAATCAACAACTGCAAGCCTTAGCATCAGAAATGAGAAAACTTTCCCTACGTCTAGACGACATCCAAAACACATCAAGCAGAAGTCGGAGCAACTCAGCGAGTCGACACAACATTCAACGACGACGTTCAACATCGCGGCGCCCTCGACACCATCAACATGGTTATTGCTGGTACCACGAGGTGTTCGGCGCGCGCAAAAAGATGTCAACCACCGTGTTCATACCAAAGAACACTCCCAAATAAGCAACAGGGAAACGACCAGCCTGGCAACCATTAAAGGCGTTGGCTGCCAGGGCTGATGGTAAAAATCGCCTCTTCTATATTCACGACCGCAACAGCAACCTCAAATTTCTGGTCGACACAGGCGCACAGATCAGCGTCATACCACTGAGAAGCTGTAGCAAGTCGGTAACGACATCAAGGGAAGCTCAATTAAAATTACAAGCCACCAATGGCACACCCATTAGCACTTATGGCGAGCGCGTTATGTCCCTCAACATCGGCCTAAGAAGGGAATTTACTTGGACCTTCACAATAGCCGATGTTGAGACGCCAATCCTCGGAACGGATTTCTTAGCGTATTTCAACTTGTCTGTCGGGCTATGTTCACGCACACTTACCGACACGCGCACTAACCTACAACGCCGTGGGGCATTGTCTAAGCATTCGACGATCGGTCTAACCGCACTGATACCGGGAGCGAACGGTTACGAGAGTCTACTCCGATAGTATAAGTCCGCCATTCACCTATGCAGAACCCATCAAACACAACGCTACCCATGCTATTAAGACAACTGGACCCCCAGTTCATACATCACCTCGTCGATTGCATCCAACTAAATTACGGGTAGCTAAGGACGAATTTGAGAATATGCTCAAATTGGGCATAATTAGACCATCTTCAAGTCCTTATGCTACACCGCTTCACACGGTTCCTAAGAGCGATGCCGAAACTTGGCGTCCGTGCGGGGATTATAGGCCTTTGAACGCCCAGACCGTGCCGGACAAATATCCAATCCCCCATATTAAGGACTTCGCCCTATCATTAAAAGGCGCCACTGTATTTACCAAATTAGACCTAAGGAAAACCTTCTACCAAATCCCAATAGAGCCACCCGACATTCCCAAGACTGCCATTACCACCCCTTTTGGCTTGTACGAATTCACTCGGATGCTTGCCCACCCTTGGTTTATACTGCAACTATGCTAAGCAGACCTTAGCTACAGTTTCTGGGAGAGAGCGTGTTATCCAGCGTAATCAACAATCTGAACACGGCCAGCACTCTCAAACGCTCGGCCACGATGACTTGTGACTTTGTGCTAGCACAGCTATCAACGGTCCCCCAAGTGTTCCGTCTACCCAATTTCCCTCACAAGACTTGGGTCAACCAGTGGAATTGTTTTCAGGCACTTTCCAAAGGTTCCGCACGCTGGGATCGTACCCCTCCAGACCGATGACATCAGGAAGTCTCCTTTCTGACAAATCAACCGTGGTGAGATTCGAACCTGGGTCTCATGGTCAGAAAGCGAACGTTCCAAGCACTCGGCCACATACAAATTTACAAGGACTTTTTTCTTTTTTTTTTCTCTCTCTCTCATGCTAAAGGACTTAGACGTTCAACACGAGAACTTTCTGATAGGAACTTATAACCTCTTTAAAAAGTCCAAAAATTGGTGTATATTTGGATTAAGTACGTTATCCGAAGATAACCACCTGTAAACACACACATAACCCCATGTAAACCATCACTTTGATAACTCTCCCACAATAATTTCACAATAGATCGAATCAGTGGCGTAGCTAGAGTAAACGTCACCCGGGCGGTCCGCTCAAATGTCACCCCAATGACCCCGATTCACCTTATGCTGAATGGTTAGCTGGAGCTAAATTTTCATACATGCTCTACCTCTACTTTACTCTACTGACCGGTACGTTACTGTTTACATGTATAATCCAAGACAAAATCCAATACCACAAAATAATCAGTTCAAATCAAAAATTTTTAAAATGCAAATGTTCACTTTCAGAACAACTAAATGCAAAACACGGCAATATACACAAGAATGACATTCGATACTATGGTCTTAGAATGAATGTTTTCTTGTTTTCATTGTGGCAAAATCTGTTTGTCTTGTAAGCTCGTTTTCAATGGACAGCACAGCCAGATCCGACAGTCTCGACTGGCTTTTGGTTGACGTAATTTTCTGTTGCTAATTTTTCGGTGGCCAATTTTCCGTTGCATCATTTTCTGAGTACCATTTAATTATCAATGATGTTTGAAAGTATTTTTTTTGACAAAAAATGTTCTATTTAATTTTTTAAGCATTTTTCGAACATTTTAAATCAACTGCATTCTTTTAAAGGTTACCTAGAGAATTTATGCAAAGTTTATTTTTTTGTTTTTCTTTATACAAGTAAAATACATTTACATCGTATTTTGATGTTATTATGATTTTAGTTTTAGTGATAATTTAAAAACAATAAATATTTATCATTAGTACCAATAATGGAAAATTAAGTTAAAGATTTAAAAGAATCGTTTTTGGAATCGGAAAATAGGCACAAATTTTTCCGATACCGTTTCCGATACCCCAAAAAGTTCCGATTTTTCCGATTCCGATTAATCGTCCCAACACTAGTAGATATATTCAAAAGTATATCGCTCACTCAATGGAAAATTGTATCTCAGCGAATTGATACAGGCAAGACTGAAATTGTTGCACTTTTGGCTTCGTATTTCGCTTTGTTGTTATTAATGATGCAGAATTAAAACACCATATCATCCGATAAAATGTTACATTACAACAATGTCTCTTGTTAGTAACCAAGATTGTCGTAACTGAAACACATGAAAGCTGAAAACATTGCTATTTTTCGTACTCACAAATTTCCCGACAATTTATTAGAAAATCTCGGACGCGGGGACAAAACTAGGGGGTCATAAATTATTTCTGGGGAGTCATATGCCCGCCTGCGAAACCCTGTGTCTCTACCACTGTTTTCATACTATTTTTGGCACCTTAGCCTGGTTGAAAAATTTTGTTGGGGTGACATTGTGTCACCCCTCCTGTGCTTGCACCCGGGGCGGTCCGTCCCCTCGCACCCCCCTAGCTACGCCACTGGATCGAATTCTATGATGGCGAAAGTAGCTGAAATACGCTTGAAGGAATAATTTGGGGATTGGAGAATACATCTACTGAACCAGCATTTATAACAGCCATAAGAATTAAATAAAAACTATTTCTGTGATCTTCAATCAAAAAAGTAAAAAAAAGGAGAATTTGAAGTTAAAACACAAACATGACTTAGCAATAATTGTAATCATTGCTGTTTTTCAAATATATCAATATTCTTCGAAACATTCACGACTAATAATAATAGAAAATGAATATTTATTTAAATACTTTTTTCATCCTCCGTTTCGTATAATTTGTAATTAATTTTTTCCTTCAATTTAAACGTAAGCAAAAGATAAGTCTTGTCTAATCACCTGTACTGTCTGAATCCGTTTTCTCTCTCTTCAGGTCTGTCGGTGAGGAATACTCGACTGATGCTCGTGACGAACAATTGTCTTTTCTTGTGCAATCGACACTGCCAGTCTCTCTGCCACTGCCGCCACCACCACTGCCACGCCCTATCGACTCTCCCGACTGACCCTTGGTATTACCTGACGATCGGAACCCTAGTTCTGCGATCGAACCTGGATTTGTCTGGGCGAGTTGGTTTTGGTAAGGATGTGCTGCATGCTGGGAATGGTGATGGTGGTGGTGTAGAAAGGCGGCAGCGGCAGCAGCCCGGCTGTTTTGATCGGCTAACTGAATGGTGATTGGCTGAAACACTTGACCAGTGCTGTAACTTTGAAGGTCGTGATGCAGAGTCATTGGGCTGGAGTATTGATGAAACTGGGCATATTCTAACCTGGAAAGAAAAAGAAAAATGACTTAATTTTATCTAGATACCTCCACAGAAACCCGATACATAGGTTTAAAATTAATTTTTAAAATGAAAAATATTTCTTGAAGCTTTTATTTTAGTTTTAATTTCAGGCTAATAGATTAAATTTAATATTTCCAATAAGCAAGATACTTTGCTGTATTTCAAAACTAATTTAAATTTACTGGAATGAGTTTTTGTTTTGAAATCACTAAAATTCGTTGATTTTAGCACACATGCAAAAAATCTTTCAAAAATAAAATATACTTTTCTGAAACTTTATCGAAGGAATATTAAAACTGATTTAAAGTTAAATTAATCCGATTTTAAACAAATATTTTTAGTTTAAAATATGGCAGAAATGCATTTTTAACACCGAGACAGGTATGGTGTTGACAGATTAACGGACAGACTTTAGTTTATTTAATTTTGTTCTACGGTGGATATATCTGTAAAAATGACTTTAGGTATGTAACGTGAGGGTCTTTTTTTTACATAATTTTTAACTACCCAGTAATCTTAAAAATTTAGGAAAATATTTCTCTTAATCTAATGTTTTATTGAATTTATGTACTTTGGCTTTAAATTTAATATAGTTATCGCTCTTATTTTTTGATAATATCGTGTATGGACATCCGTATTTACAAATATCGGCACACAAAAATTCAAAATTCTTTAAAAATATTGTTGGTCGCTGAATTGTAGCAAGCTTTTCCATTTATGATTATTAAATATAGTTTTTACTTAATTTGTACAGGTTAGGTGATATTGTTATTAATACAGAATTTTAAAGGTTTAAAACTTTATAAATTATTTTAATTAGAATTTTTTAAAAAATGAAATCAGTTCGTGTTAACAAATTTGTTTTTCTTCAAACAATAGTATCCATAATATATCTTATAAGTAATTAAAAGCTTTTCTAATTAAATAATGTCTTAGTTTTATTGTTTTTTTTTATTACAGTGTAACCCGGATATAAGAGAGTTGTCGGGACGGAGAAGAAGTCTCTTATATCCGGGTTTCTCTTATATCAGGGTTTGGTCTATTTTGTTTAGGTAAGTATGGGCTCTAATTTGGGACCAGATAAAATCTCTCTTATATCCGGGTTTCTCTTATATCCGGGTTACACTGTATTCGATTCAGAGCAGATTTTCGGTAACTGCGGGTTGTTTTACAAAAAAGAAATTGATTATTTAAATTCTCCAAGTAGTTCTGCTTTTTAAGCCCAACAAAATTTAATTTCTCGAAATTTCATAAAATTAAATAAGTGGGACGTAACAGATGTAAAAAAAAAATGACTTACTAGATTTTCTAAAAAAAAAGCTTTTAATTCATTTGCGAATAAGTCCTGATAGTTTCATTAAAATCCGACAATTATTTGATTTTTACAAGAATTTCTAAATCAATTTGTTTTTTTTTCTCTCAAAAAGACGTATAAATTTCTTATATTTCTTTGGTATCCACCGCTGATGCAAGAAAAAAGAATTTTTCATAAAATTTCGAATGTTCTAAAAAAGGATCAAAAATATAATTTAATAATCAAAAAAGCCTTTGTTGGTCTTTCCTTAATGAAAGATTCTGACGATAAATTTCTTAGCGAATCTTTGGAAGAACCTAATTCCAGGTCAATCGCCTGTTTGTATGCATTTCCGGTTTAAACTCCTCAGCTACAATATTTAAAAAAAAATTCCCTTGAAACTTATTGTGATTCAACATGTTCCAATGAAGATTTTGATATACAATTTCTGTAGTGTTTAAGCGAAGATACGTAATATTTACGATTTAAAAAAAAATTATGCAGATATTTTACAAATTTGCGTTAAGTCCTGATCGTACTGTTAGTTAACGCCAATATCGTTTCCAATTTAAAGTTTAAATTAAGATTGGGTTTAAATTTTAAACCCAATCTTTATTTGTAAATAAACTGTGGCAAATTAATAATTGAATGCATTGTAGAATATTTAATATTTTTTTAAATAGAGGACAATGTTTTTACATCATTAATAACAAATCATTTCTAAAATAATTTCATTCATTTGTGAATAAGTTCTGAAAGTTTCATTAAAATCCAACAAGTACTTGATTTTTGCAAGATTTTCCAAATCAATGTGTTTTTTTCAACTGAAAACAGGGAAAAACAAGTCATGTTAATATTACCTAATTTTTGACCTAAAAAAAAAAAACAAGATTTTCAACCTAAATTTAAAAAATGCTGCAAATGAAAAAAAAAAATTAAAAAATAATTAAAAAATACCTTGGTCTTCCCTCTTTAATTTTAACATATACATTTACACGTTAAACTTTTTTTTATCAATTTGAGGACCTTTTTTCTCCAGGGTATACCACTTTTTTTAGCGTTACCTGGGACAAACCCTACATAAAAAGCACAAGTATAAGAAAGCTAAATAAAAGACATTAAAAAATAAACCTTAACCACCTCCCAAAAAACAAAACAAAAAAAAACATCGAGTATGTTTCTATAATAAACCCTATTTTCAATTATTTTTTATTCAAACAAGCAAAATGAAATCGAAAATGAAAAGATTACACGAGCAATCATTTTAAAGGACATTTGCTTTTAAGTTTCAGTTTTCCATGAAAGACAATAGGCCTTCTTTGCTGACAAAAATAAATTTTCCACTTTTTATCCATTACATCAATATTAAGCAATATGAAAATTTATTAAATTAAATTTTTAAAAGATTGTTTTAATTTACAAAATATCTTCGTTTATATGAAGGGTGAGGGGGGGCAAGCAAGATTTCGCACGTATTAAAGCCATTTGTGTTTGTTTTAAATACATCTTTGGAAATAAAAGAAAACAAAAATTTAAGCGCACGTAAAAAAAATCATCGATTGTTAAAAAAATGTCCCACATCAGATAATGCCAGGACAAATTCTTCAGCATCAAAATCGAGTTTTCTACTATGAGAAATTTAAGCTGCTTGAGCGTGTATAGAGAAAACGGACGCTGTGTTAGGAGGCTCTTGCTTAAATTTTTGAATTTCAGAAATATTTTTGGACCATTCCGACTTGTGGAAAAATAACTGTGTTTGGTTTTCACTCGAAATTAATAAAAAAAGTTTTCCCCCAAATTCCGAAAAAAAAAACCGGGAACCTATCTTGGTGAATAAAACAAAAAAGAAAATTGAATTCGTGGAGTCGACGAACAAGCTACAGGAACCCAGGTCGACCCGGTCAAGGAAAAACATCACAGAAGAAATTTAACGGCCGTCAGACGAGAATTTGAAAAGAACTGTAGTGCCGATTCGAGCTTCTGTGTTTTCCACGTGTTGTAGAAAAAATTCTATTTGCCGCGCCGGAGAAATGTGTTTTGTATAGACATATTGTAGCGAATTAAAATTGTGATTTTACACTTTCATCGGGTCTAATCACAAATTTTGTTGCTGTATAAATGTTTCTTTTTTATTAATACTATCCGGCGTGCGTAGTAGTTTTTCAATGATTTCCTGAGTGGCTCTCGTTTGGAAAGTGTGTGTGAATGTGAGTTGGTACATATATACAGTCTTGTTTCTGTTAGCAGGAGTTGAAAATAATAAATCACGTCGGGAAGTCACCAATCTGTAGCGGACCGTGGGTTAGCGTGTTGTTAAATTAGGAACACTTGTGTTTATTCCTGCTAGAAGAAGGTCCAACTACAAGAACATGACGGACTCAAGTTGAGTCCAACCGAACATGTAAAGAAAACAAACAAGACCAATATATATATATATCAACAAATATATGTATAAAACAACAAAATTTACAATGGACATAGACATTAATATTTGTATTTGTGTGTGAACGTAAGGAGTTTGTATTTTGGTAAATGTTCGTACGAACGTGTATGTGTGTGTGTTTCATGACGTTTTCCCACAGGTGGGCAAAACGCAGATCTCTGCGAGAGATTATATTTTGTAAATGTGTCTGCTGAAATGCAAAGTGAAAAAAGAACGAGGCAAGAAGTCTCCCAGTATTTATAGTGTAGGGAGAGCGCCCCCTAATTAGAGAATTAAGGAGGAGCTAACTCCAACAGAACAACAAAGTCGCTCTCACATCAAGGAAAAGTCATCAGCTGGTGTGATTGTTCTGTTTTTCGCTGTTACCTCGAACTTTGCTTCGAACATTGTACCTATTCTTTGAAAATTATTCAGAGAAGAAGTACATTTACCCCACTTTTTTCATTTATTTTTATGTTGATTACTTTTTCTAGGGACCATATGCAGCATAGTGAATTTTATTGTAAAGGAAAAGGAGGCATATTTTATTTGCAGTATAATTTGTACATAGATGTTATTGGCCATCATTTGGCACACAAAGCACTTAATTTGTGTAATTCTTTCATTTTTTATGTGTTAATAAATTTATCGTCTGCATATTTTAAACTCGGCTCGTGTCATCTGTCTTTGTTGTTATGTCCTTGGCCTTATAAATTAAAGGTTACCTCAAACATTTGTTTGAACTATATTTTTTTTCGTAGTTTTTTTTTACCAAATAAAAAAAATCCTTTACTTCATTTTCCTGGGGAGGAACAAAAATATACCTCACTTGCCTTTAAATTGATTGACTGTATGCTAGGTAGGTCTAGCTCAATACTGCTACTGCAAAAGTATACAAGGAGCGACAAACTTATTATTAGTATTAAATTTGGAAGATAATATTGGTCACAAAAAAAGAAAAAAATGGTTTTCCGTGGGCCGCAGAAATATACTCCACGGGCTGCGTGTTTGAGGCCCCAAACCCAAGAACACTGTCTGAGAGATTATTTTTTATTAGGAAAATTTAAAAAAACAAAAGAAAAAAGAAAAAGTAACGTCTAGCCTAAAGCAACAAACTCCAGAACGACTCAGTTTGTTGATAAATATACGCTGGTGTGGTTAAGGCCAAATATAAAAGTTTAAGGGCATATTACGTTGAAATACTGGTTCTAATTGGATCACCGAAGTTAAACAACTTTGAACGTGGTCAGTACTGAGATCGGTAACCGCTGGGAAATACTAGGTCCTGTAAGCTACGCAATAGGCGTAGCCAGCCAGCGATGGATACAATCATCACACTACTTCTACTAACAGAAAACCTCGATATGTGGCAGTGCATCTGGACTGATAAGTCCCAAGACCTACCTGGAGTTGAGTGAGTATCAAAGTGAGTGAAAAGACGCCAGTCACTCAAAATGGAACATCTTAAAAAGGAGAAATGGCGAAAACAGCAAAAGAGGGCATCTCAAGGAAAGGACAAGATAGTTGAAATTCTCGAACTAATGATAGACGACGAATAATGGCAGAATTATTTATTATAATAATATAATCTATATAATAGCTTATATATTCATAAACTTTATTTTAATTATTTAAACCTTATTTTTAGTGGATACTCATGTTTCAGTAGACGCTTTATTTATTAAACAGTATATTTATTTTCGTCTACCGGCCTGAATATTCGAAAAATCTTATTAGAAAGTTTAGGATTCGAACCTGCGTTTCCCCTTGGGGAATCAGTCATTAGATCTGACGTGCTTTAACCTCTCAGCTACAGAGAGCCTGATTGCCAAGCAAAGCTCGAATAGTGCTTTTAAACACAGATTTTTCCGGCTCTCGAAATATACATATCTGCCAAGTTTCGTATCCTAATATAAACAAAACAATTTTAGGGATGGATTTTTAATTCATTAATCCGACATATTTTATTACTTAAACGTTATTTTTAGTGGATAAAAATATTTGAGTAGGATTTGTGAACGAGGGTAAATTTGAAACAAAGTCGGTCGGCTTTAATTATTCGGTCTTGAAGCGAGAGCTAAGCATATTATACGGTGATTTTATTTTTTTTTTACTTTAATTATTTGTTTTACTTTGATTGGAGTTTTGGCATTATGCCTTCAGAAGTGTTGTTACTGTTAAGGAACGCCGAGTAGATAGCATTGAACCAGTGGCAAATAATGAGAAATATAAAAACCTGGAATGGTCTAAGATTTTCGTAATGGGGACGAAAGGAACTTGATTTTCTTCACCATGTCTTCGCATTCCATCTGGACTAGAATGTCGCTGTTGATAGGATCTGGGTGCTCGTTCGTGTTGAACCGCTGCAATCAAATTAGTGGAATATCTTGAAATAATTATATTTATAAATTTATTATTATTACTATTTAAAAAAAGAAAAAAAAGAACTGTCGATTCAAAGTAATCCGCTCATCTTCACTTGTACGAAAAAATTTTATAAAATTATTATTTAAATTGCATTTTTTCCAAACTGAATGATTGTGGCAACGCTGCATCGAGTAAGTCGATGGTCGCAATTTTGCTATCAGCGTCATTACACGGGGTATCACTGGACCACATATTGGTAGCAATGAAATATTTTTAAATTAAAGTATTATCTTGTTTATTTTAGACAATGATATTTAGACACTATCACATACACTTAGTGTAAACATAATTTTTATACTTTACATTATTTACATTGTTCGGACTGTTCTCATCTTTATTGTCATATTCACGACGTTTCGTTCGTTGTACACTCCGTCCTTCTTCAGGTGATTGGAACTTCGAACTGAACCTTTTATTTCGTCCATCTAGGTAGATTGTTCTAGTTCCACGTGCCCTGCCTCTTCCGGGTGTCTCAGTTATTTTCCTTTAGCTCATCTCACCAAGTTTTTGTTTACCATTGCAGTAGCCAATATTGAACTCACAACTCTTTGAGTCAAGTCAACTGGATTCAACGAACGCTTTTTTTCCACTGGGCCATGTGTTGAAACGTCGTGAATGTGGCAATAAAGATGATGATAACAGTCCGAAGACGGATAACTTTTATACGCGTTGGCAAACCAAAAACTTGTTATTAGCTTTATTGCGGTGATCTGAAATACAATATCTCCAAGGCCTGCGTGTAATCTCTTTATGGCATTTACACACCTTTTATAAAACTATTTTATCTGCGCTATAAAAATATAGGATCATATATGAAATTATTTTAAATCCGTTTATTAAAATGTTTTCTATGTTTAATGCGAGATTTAAAAATACTAAAAAACCGTTGGGTTTCATTTAAAAGCGTTTATAGAGGTAACAATATTATCAATTTTATTATTAATTACACATATTTTCATTTGTATTTGCAATATAAGTTATTGTAATAATTAGTATTACTCATACAATATCACTTAGATCAAATGCAATAATAAATTAATGAATGGGAAGGTTTTCAAAATTTGTGAAAAAATGTAGTCCCTGATACAAAGAACGACAGAAAAAAAACTTTCAACATATTAAAATTATTAATATATTATTGAAATAAATTTAACTAGTTTGTCAGAAGTGGGAGACTTAAATATATTTAATTACTATGGTCTGATTTTGTCTTAGTTTAAAAATGCATCCTGTCGACAATTGTTACATGACGACAGAAGAAATAAAAATCATCGTTTGTATGCAATCGACTGTGTATGAAATCTGCCTTCAAATTGAATCTAATGTTATTAATATACACAGTTTTCTTCAAAATAATAAGTACATTTATTATTAATTATTAATAAATAATAAGTAAAATACTTTCCGGCTCGAAAACGAATGAAAAGCATAAAAAACGACTTAATGCAAATATCTCCTGAGGTAAAGTATTAAAAACAAATTATTTTATCAATAGGTTTTACTTCTATACATTAAAAGAAATTTCTTCCATAAAATGTACTTTGAATACAAAATTAAAACAGGTGTAGTCTTTTTTAAAATAATAAGTATTTTTTTTATAATGCATACTTTCTCGTTTTTCTCCCTCGCATTTAATTCAAAATACGTAACGGAAGCCAACCAGTGTGCATAATTTATTTATTTACCATCGTCATGTGACACTTATAGCCTCTTCACCTTTCAATTAGCTTATAAAAAAAGTTCTAAAGTATTGTAGTGAATTGTATATACATATATATATATATATGTTGTGTTATGCATGCAGCATATTTATTTAATAATGCTGTTATAATGTACAGTGTAGCCCGGATATAAGAGAGATTTTCTCTGGTCCCAAATTAGAGCCTGTGTTAATGTATATAAAATAGACCAAACCCGGATATAAGAGACTTCTTCTCCGGTCCCGACAACTCTCTTACATCCGGGTTACTCTGTATTATGAATGCTTAATTTTTTTTTTTTCACATACATAATAGTTGGAATATAATATGCAAGCGTTACTTTATGTGGATTGATATAAGAAGGTGTATCGAAAACGAATACTGAATTTCCTAAAAATAGTAGAACGGCCATAGCTCAAGAAAGCCTTGCCTAATTTTAATGAAATTTGTTGACACTGCACTCGGAAAGGGTTCAAGGTTCAATACGTTCCTAAATTGGTTGAAGTATTATGTATCGTTTAAATTGTATCTCGGGAACACTCATACATACAAGATTAAAGATTCAGTATTATATAGATTTTTCCACTTTCTGTTCTTTCATGAAGATTGTCTTTTCATTTTCCGGCTTCGTAAACATCTTCGAACAGTTCGCCATTGTTATGACAAAGACTTTGCTAGTGCAAGGGAGATAACTTTCGGTGTTCGAAGCCAGATACAAGAAATTTAAATGCATTTTTTTCTATTTCTTTTAAAGAAAGCTGCGAGATTAGCGCAACAGAGTCTACCTCAGTAAGTAAAAAATAAAAAAAAATAATAGAAATTCGTTTCTTTGAGGATTTGAAAAAAAAAGACAAAATGTTTCTCCTGGTGGAATGTAACGATTTCTATTTTATAATAAGAATCTGTCTGTTTCTTTTTTTTCAGTTTTTTTTTTTTTTTTAATTTAATGCTTTCAAAAATATCCCATATACTATTTCGAATCTGGGAGTTAATGCTACGAAAGTTTCATTCTGAATCTATGATAAGCGTTTTTAGCTCTGCTTTGTTAACCAGTAAATCGCGATCGAGAATGACGAACATACTCACACTCACCATCTCTGTTCATTTTCATTTCCAAACATTTCTTGAATCGGCACGCCTGACATTGGTTTCGTCTGGCTACATCGACAATACAGGCACCATTTTCCTTGCAGACGTAATCGAGGTTTCTGCGAATACTTCTCTTGAAGAAGCCTCGGCAGCCATCGCAGCTAAGGACGCCATAATGCTTTCCTGAAGCCCGATCGCCACAAACCAAACAAAGAGCATCGTTTTTCTTACTGGATGAACCTACAAAAAATAAATAAATAAAAATGATCGTTTTCAGTTGCGTGTTTATCTTTGGGCTGGTTTTTAACGGTATATAAACCCCTAGAGTTTATTTAATACCGAAATCTAAATATTTTGTACGCATTTTATTTTTGAGATAATAATGGTTTTAGTGATACAAGTATTACTAATTAGCTAGCGGGGGAGGGGAGAGAAGGTGGATTCATACTTTTCCCAAGGTTGAAATGCCAAGTCGCGCATGGGTTGGTGTCCCTGTATGTATTTCCGGTGAGCAACCTCTGAAGCTACATTATGTTCTAGTCTCAGTCACATTCTGACAAACGGTGATCTCTCTTCATCCATCTGCAAACATTTTTGTGACTTTAATGTGCATCATGTTAATTAGCTTAAAAATTCTAAAGTTACTAGAATTCAGACTTCCAATTTCACTTACTCAAATCGTGGATTTCCCTACTCATTTCCCTAATTCTTGATAGGCTCCAGAGGCGGATATGCAACATAATTGGCCCTGTTCTGGCATCTCGTCTACAGTCACTCTCTCACAGACGGAGCCGTCGCCTCTCCCTGTCTTTTTTACAAATAATTTCAAGGTAATTGCTCCGAGGAGCTGCATTCGCTGGTTCCCAGACTTCATGAGTTCAAGCGCCCTACGAGGTTGATATCCCGCTCTCATCCTTTCACTATCGAAGCTCCTAAATGTAGCCGTCTCTTCTACTCCAATAGCTTCATGTCTCGCACCCCTCGCCTGTGGAACTCCCTTCCCTATAATCTCCAGCTATTCAAATGTAATGTCAATCGACATCTCCAGTTGCTTTGATCTATCCACTATCCTTCTCCTCATCTTTTCCTCTATCACTTCTATCTGATCTTGCACCAAATTTTCTGTAACCCCTTGTGTCTTAGTAGCTTCTCGCCTTGCTTGGTGTGAAACGCTTAAAAAAAAATCTGAGCAACATGCTTTTTTTGTTTCTTGCCCACTGTTCTAGCAACATTATTCTTTTGGAAACCCGGATCGCGTTATAGTACCTATCGATATTTCGTTCCAGTCATCTATTCATCATCCCATTCCTTCTTCGTGACTTTAAGACACCATTGGATAGATATATTTAAACTTCCAACTGAAGTTTCTTCTTGTGTCAAAGCCGGCATAGATGCTTTTATTCTTTCTCGGAAATAACAGGTGAAACCTCAATCTTTTCCACGGTTCATACTAGCATGTTCTGCCACTATAGCCCACAGGAATCACTATTTCCAGCTATAGTAGCGTGACAGTTCCGATCAGAAAAGACTGAGTCTCTGTTGAGTGATATGCATATAACGCCTTTTATAATTTCTGCTATTATTTTCAATCTGGATCCACACAAAGTACGTAGACTAATTGTATTTATGTAATAGTCCTTAAGAAGTGTACTCCTGAACTGGCTCTTGTTCTCTCTAAACTGTATCATAAATGCCTGTCTCTCGCTTTCCAGCTTGTTGGAAATCCTCGTCTGCTGTGCCAGTTTTTAAGAACTCAAGTGAACAGTCCAACCTTTCCAACTATCAACCTATTAACATTCTACTCCTTTTTGGCAAACTAATCAATGCTCAATTAGTTAAGCATCTCACAACGAAGGCCTTCTTTCAAGCAAACAAAATGGCTTTCGTTTCTCTCGGTCAGCTGCTAATGTATTGACGATTATTGTGGAAAGAGTCTATCAAGCTTTATGTAAGAATGATGAAGCTAGGACTGTTGCATTGGACATCTCAAAAACGTTCGTCAAGGTTTAGCATGCCGGTCTTTTTCACAAGTTGAAAGGTTATAGTGCTTCCGGGTGAATTTTTCAACTGATTCAGTCTTTCTTACAAAATCTTGAAATGAAAATTATCCTGAATGGCCACTCTTTTAGAGCCTTCTGCGCTAATGCATGTATCATCACAGGGCTATATCCTTGGTCCTATTTGGTTTTGAATTTTCATTAACGACCTTCCTGATTACATCAGCTCTCAAATTGGTATTTATGCTGATGACACAACCATTTACTCCTGTCTCAGTACTAAATCTGATCAATTCGATAAGGTAAAATTGGCGGCTGATGTCAAAAACGACAATCTCTTTTTAACTGAATCAAAAGATGGTTTGTTAAAACAGACATCTAAAACAAAACTGCTCTCTATTAATCATTTGAGAGACCCCCTTTCTGTCTTCTATTAGCATGGCTGATGCTAACCTCCAGGAGAGTGACTAGTTGCGACTTCTCGAGTTAACACACTCGGCTGACATGAAGTAGAAAGACTACATTGAACCCATTGCTAGGACAGCTGCTAAGAAAGTTGGTTCACTGTATCGTTTTAGACAATTTTTCAATTCAGAATCTATTTTACATAAGTCTACCGTTCGTCCATGCTTAGAATATTGCTGCCACATATGGTCCGGTGTTCGACTTTTTGGCGAACTATATTTTTGTTTGTTCGCCGAACTTTAACTTTTTGTGTTTCATCTTTCGCCGAAATTTATTTTTTTCTTTCAGCGAACTTTATTTTCTTTTTCGTCGTTGGACGAAGTTTTATTTTAAATCGTTTCATTTCTTTGATTTATTATTGATTTATTGTAAATTAGCAAGTTTATTTTCCTTTTTTTTCGTTTTAAGTCAGTTTTTTTTTCTTTATGAAAATATATACTTTTATTTTCGATTGAATTTTTGACTTCTCTTTGTAGAAGAAATTATTTTTTAGATTTTAAGTTTTATGTTTTGTTGGTGTTTCCCCACCCCCGCCTCTGCAATACACTTTAAAATATAATTTATTTTCAAAGAAATATATAGTCAAGGAAGAATGTGTCAAATTCAAGCGAGGCACCGAAGAATATGACAGCCGGGGAATCGCCCTTATGTTGGAAGTCCCCTTCAGTTGTATTATAAACTTGGCAGAATTTTTGCTACTAAGTATGATATCTACCGAGGCATTTGCGACCTGCCGTAAATGACGATGCACTTATTATTGCTGGAAAATGCCTAGGAAAAACGATGACCTGTTCACTTAAAAAAAATGACATCAAATCACTTTACAAACATTAAAATCCCTATTTGATGAGTTTTTTTTTTTTTATTTTGTATAAAAAAATTGTTAATTATTTTTAATACATACCCAGTTCAGTGTCTTTAACCCTAACCCCAACATATTTTATACTTCCAAGAGTTGGTAAATATCATACCATAGTAGAAAATGGACGGTAGATATAATTTAGTAGCACACGTGTGTGTGTGTGTGTGTGTCGCCAATAAAAATCAATGCCTCAGGTTTCAAATTCATTATAAAAGTGAAAAAATATTTCATCAAGCTTTTATTTTAGTTTTAATTTCGAGCTAATAGATTAAATTTAATATTTTCAATAAGCAAAATGCCTTTTACTGTATTTCAAACTGAATTTAAATTGGTTGGAATGAGATTTTTTATTATCAGTAAAAAATGTTAAAATCGTTTGCATTCCCTTTATTAGGAATTCTTTCAAAAATAAAATATACTTTTCTGAAACTTTATTTGAGTAAGATAACTGACTTAAAATTTAATTAATCTGATTTGAAGCAAATATTACTTTTATTTTAAAATATCGAAAATCATTATTAAACACGAGGGTTGGTCCTTTTATGAAGCGTAGACAACTCATTCGATAGAGTTAATTACTTTTTCCAGTTCTATAGTTATCTTTGTTCTTTGGGAGGCGTCTTTCACTATCCCAATGCGCCTTCGGTAGCACATTTTCCGTCCTCTGTTAAAAGCACTTAAATGTTTGTACGTGCTTTTCTGTTTTCAATTCGTAGTTCGGGTCTTTTACTGACAACCATACATTCTGTGTTTTAGTCTTCTTTTCTTACTTACCTTTATGAGCACATGGTCAAGTGGTTAGAACGTTTGCAGTCTGACCATGAGACCCGGGGTCCAATCTCACCATGGTCAATTTGTCAGGATGGAAACTTCCAGATGTTATCGGACTGGAGAGGTCGATTCCAACGTACATCAAGTTTGGAAACCTTGCCGTCGATATCTATGCTAGCACGAAGTCACAAGTCATCATGGCCGAGGGCTTGAGTGTGCTGGTCTTGTTCAAATTGTTGATCACACTAGATAACACGCTCTTTCCCAGATAGTTGCAGTATAAACCACATGTGGTCTGTGTGTGTGTTGAATAAACACAAAATGCGCCTAAGCAAGCGTCTGCAATAGGGATTAGCTAGCCGCCCTAGTAGACGGGTATCCTCGAATACAACTATACACACATACGTACTTACCTTTACTAAACTGTTTACATTCTACGTCTGTTATCAACACTGTGGCTGCCAATAATAAATCCTGGTAGGACTTCTAATTCTCTAAAGATTGGGTCATTGTGAAGAATGAATAAGTCCAGTGAGAAGACATATCCTTGTCTTATTCATGGCTATCGACAATGTTATTATCGGAGAGAGCGGCGTGAAGAATATCAAGTCCATTGGGGGTTAACTCCTTGCACGGTAAGGAGAGACGTGCAACAGGCGTCACCTGATCGTCATCCAACTACTGTTAGCAAAACAAAGATAAAAATAACTGCGGGAAGGGGACCAAAGACCGTGGAATTGGCCCCCTTGCCCGGTAAAGAAAGACATGGGCGACAGGTATCACTGGATCGCCTTCAACGACTGTTCGCATAAAACAAAAAATAGTGATAGGAACATGGAACTATACTAAATTAATATGGCCAGTTAGGAAATATAAAGGAAAGGTATAGGCTAAATATTAATATTTTAGGAGTATGCAAAAGTAAGTGGCTACATAATAGAGATTTCGTCAGTGACAGACAGAGAGAAAAATGAAAGCGGAGTAGAGCTAATATTAAACCAAGACATGAAGAAATGTGTTCTGGAATACTGTCAATTCATTGATAACATTCTTCTATTTAAACTGAAATGGGAAGGTTTTTAATATATCTATTGTAGTTGTATGTGCACCGACAGCACAAAGCACGGAGAAATAAATCGAAAAAATGTTACTGCTACTGTACACTATCAAGACGCAAGGCAAATTGCAGGAAATTAAAATCGTCATGGAGAAACTGAATGCCAAAGTAGGGAAGAAGCGAGATGGTGAAATAGTTGGCAAATTTGGACTAAGAACCCGAGATGTACGTGGAGAAAAATGGCTGTAATAGTTCACTGCAAATGACCAGATAGTAGACAACGCCTGATTTTTAGAACACAAGTCTCTTACGGACATGGAGAAACCCGGGAGGGGAAACCAAAACCCAAATCGACTATATAACGATCAACAAGAGATTCAGGAATGTGGTTTTACACCGCAAAATACCACCAAGTGACGACTGTGAGAGCGATCACCTGTCAGTGATATGTATTCTTTGAATAGAACGACGGAAATTAAAGAAAGCTAAAGCAGCACCCGAACTGTAATGAAACAGGCTCTTGAATGACCCGAATTGCAAAGGCATGTATCCTGGCAACCTTATGCAGTGAACTAAATGAGAACGAAATTCAAAGTAGGACGGATTAAGGGAAGCAGTAACATTTAGATTAATTTATAAATAAAAAAAAAGCTCTTTGTTTGAATAATAAAAGCTGACATATCTAAAACGAGTTATCAATATTTCAATAAGAGTAGTATAAGGTGAAATTCGCACGAATATAGTGATTGCTTATAGAAACATTGAATCCATTCTAAAAAGTGTATCAATGTCTGTTGGTTAATACTAATTTTATTATAAAAATATTGGCTTGCAATATTTCTCTTTCAATCCGCACAGATATGTGGGTAAACGAATAACAAAACAAAGGGAAGAGAATTCATGAGGGACGCGTTTTGTACCGAGAAAAAACTTCCCCCAGACAATTTCTTTTATTCGTTTACCCACTATTAGTTTGGTATAAAGATTTGTATTAGATACACATACATATATATATATATATATATATATATATATATATATATATATATATATATATAATCTCCAAGATGGATGACTACTACTAATACTATAACACACAAAAGAGAATGGTTAAAATATTTAATATAGGAAGAAAAAATTAATTCATTTAAATAATATACTGAACTAACCATTTTTCGCCTGGGGAAGGTCATGAGACCCGAAACGTGTGTAGCGAAATGCACAGAATAAAGTATGACAAGATCCACATAATAATCAAAAACACTTTTCTCTCGTTGGAACAACAATAATTTCTCTCTCTCTATATATATATATAAATGAAAATTTATGAGAAAATGGAAAATGTATGTGTATATATATATATATATATATATACACACATACATATACACGCGCGCGCTTAATGTCTCATGTCTAACTTCACATATCTGTTTTTCTTATCTTCCTCTGTGTATTTGCCGTTTCCGCTCGAAACACTGACAACTTGCTCTTGGTCAATTTCATGCGAACACAAAATCTCCCGGTCGTTAATTCGACGTTTTGTTTCCTGACCTTTTTGCAGTGCCACCGACGCAATTCTGGCCATTCTGTATCGTAGAAGTGGCCAGACACTTCTTTTGATTTCATTTTTATACCTAGTCGTCTTTTTATTTGTTTGTTTGTTTGTTAGGTCAACTATTGCCCAAGACACTTAACCTTTCCTAACCGCTTCAAGACCACGGGTATGGGACACCAAGTCAGGATCATATTACATAGAAGTAATACTCTGCAACACTAACCATTTAAACGAATTGCCCACTCTTGTTATTTTATAGGTCAAAGTAAAATGCGACATTATGGTTTTAAAAATGGATATTTTAAATGTATATATTAATATATACAAAATATATTAAAACAAAAAGAGAGGAAGAGCAAGGGTAAGAAAAATAATATTGGTATAAAATGACAATTGGAAAAAAATCTCATTGTCATTTTATACCAATCTGTCCTGTCCACAGAAATGATCTGGGAATTTAACTATAAAAATAATATTATTCAGCGTAAAGTGGTGAATCGAAAAAATAATAAAAGAAAGGCTAACCAGTTGTCGCTCCTCAGGGCTCAATAAACAAAACCTGTGCACAACGACTAAGGAAAAGAAAAAAAATACTACCAGAAAATCAGCAATAGAAATCACAAACAAATTACATTTAGACCCAGCAACCATTCTTTCTGCTTCGAGAGGAAAGGCTACATAGGCTTAAAAGGTCTCAAACACTAAAAAAAAAACGGTATATTGTCTTTATAAACGCACACATTTCTAGGCAGTTTCAATTTGACAAGTGATTTAGGAACGAGTGAAAATTAAAATAACCTGACAATATTGGTCTCAGTATTAGAAACAAACAGTTTTTTTCTGATCATAAAACAAGGTATGCAATTGGAAGAACTATCTGCTCTTCATACCCTCAAATCATATGAATACGGGCATTTGTAAAAGAAAAATAATTTTACGTATATCAATAAAATTTTAAGCAATTTTAAAAATGTTCTTGCGGTAAATTTATCATCACGCCACCATTTTAATTGAAAAAATGGCGACCGAAAAATGACGATACTTTAAAACGTCTCTGAAAAATAAAATATCTTTCTTAGATATTTGTTTGATAGAAAATTAATAAGGATTAATTAACAATTAAAAAAAAATACTTTACGCTTAAAAAACACATTAAGGTATATTCCACCTGTTGACAAGTTCACACGTCAAACAGTAGCAGTTATTCTCGCATCACCCACTTCAAAAATCTGTCTCAAATTTAATTAAATACGAAAGACCAATGCTACCAAAATACAGAAACTGGTTTTGTTTGCGCTTTAAAATAATCATTTTAAACCTTATATAACAATTAAGTTTGGAACATATATTTTCATTCTTTCGGCCTTTAGTGAAATATTGTTATATTAATAAGAATACAAAAATAAAATAAACCCATTTTACATGGGAAAAATATATATAAACTCTGTATATCAGACAAATTGTGGGTAATTGAATAATAAAATAAAACAATTTTATATGACTGACCTCTTCAGACTAAATATTTTTATTAAGTGGGTGGGGTCATATATATATATATATATATATATATATATATATATATATATATATATAGGAACGAATGTGGGATATTTAAAAACTAGTGATAACAACAAAAACAAATGCGGTAGAATGAGGCCGGCTCGATTGTGCATCTAGACGCGTCAGACGTTGAAGATGTAGAATTTAAATTTACAATTAAATGTCCTTGCATTTTTAGCGTTTCTCTCCGTGCCTAATTATCCTCTCATAATTACAGACAAGTTTCTTAGTATCCATATTAATGAAGAAAGAAAATTACCATGTTGATGTATATTCATTTTATTCCGAGTAGTTTCGACATTAGTACAATGTCTTCATCAGAGTCTTCCGTAATTATGAGAGGATTCTATTAAAAATAAGTCGAGAAAACTTTTCTAAATTATTTAATGAGATTAATATATATATATATATATATATATATATATATAAAACATTAATGTTGAAGATGTCCTCTTGGAGGATGGAGCGAGTTACAAATCTTTTTTATATATATACACAAATGAAATGAGAACGAATCAAAATTAAATTTAAACGTTCACAACATTAATTTAAAAATAGGGCTCAATACAATAGTAGAGCGATAGTTCTTTCTTATATGTATGATATTTACATTCGAACATGTAAAACAGCCACATAAATGCATTCATTTTTCGATGTATATCATCGTATGTTATCAGCCACTGGTAAATGAGGTTTATTACGATTTTTAAGCTTTACTTACAAACAACAAAAAGAAAAAAACCATGAAAAGCAAAAAAGAAAAAAGACATAAGATATAGTCTCCTCTAAAAAGAAGGAAGAAAGACATAAGATATAGTCGGAAAAAAGAAAGAAAGAAAGAAAGAAAATAAAAATACATTGACCTAAAACAAGTTCAAATATTTCATAAAATTTATGCTTAAAAGACAATAGCATTTTATATTTGATTAGTGACGGAATTTTAGCATAAGCAATTTTTTTTCACTTTAAATTTTATTTTTTACCTACTTCAGGAAAACCTATTGTGGGAGGAATGTTAGGGTTACTTATTACAGGAGGTGAGTAATGTCCGACAGTAAAGTTTATAAAGCTTCTTTTTAAAATACCAAATAACCATATCTTATGTGACTATTACCCAAAGAGACGTGTTGTCTAGAGTTTAATACAGTGTAACCCGGATATAAGAGAAACCCGGATATAAGAGACTTCTTTTCCGGTCCCGACAACTCTTATATCCGGGTTACACTGTATTTGCATTTTGTATCTGTTTTTGATTTAGTTACTATAGTCTTTATTTCCAATCAGTTTGAAACCAATATGTAATTAATCAACAAGATAAAAAAGTTCATATATAATTAAATAAACAATACAACGGCTATTATTTAATTTACAAACGAAAACGTTTCATTATTTTTTAATGAACGTGTAATTAAAAACTTGTAACAATAAGTACCACGTTATTTAGTGAGTAAGCTTAGAAACAATTAGTAGCAAGTACTTCACATATGTGGTCTTTTAGAGTAAATTTCCAGAAGGATTTTGACATTGGCGATGTGGAGAAAAAGTTAGTATTATACTGTGTAGGGAGGTCGATTTTTACTGGGTGGCCAGTGGCTTTTTGACAGATTAAGAGTTAAACTCAGCAAGTAAATTTTACTTTTGTAGCAGGTTTCTGTTCTAGATGGGTACTTCCTTTTTCTAATCATGTACAGTGTAACCCGGATATAAGAGAGTTGTCGGGACCGGAGACGAAGTCTCTTATATTCGGGTTTCTCTTATATCCGGGTTTTGTTCTATTTGGTTTAGGTAAGTATGGGCTCTAATTTGGGACCAGAGAAAATCTCTCTTATATCCAGGTTTCTCTTATATCCGGGTTACACTGATGACTACAAGTGAATGTCGGCAAAAATGTATAGCGGTATCTCTGGTTAGGAATGAGCATTGAAAAAAAAAAATAGACATTTCTTTTTTTAGTAAATTTGAGCCTTATGAAAATTAAAACCATTGGAATCGGCGTATTGGCTTCAATTAGCGTTATTGCACTTGTGAAAGGTGTTAATCCACCTTGTTTCAATAGGTCAGAGATTACTCTCTGCTGTTGGTACAGACTAAAAACTGTACAACCTGTCTAATACTCTAATGTTACTTGTAGACAGTAGAGTGCAAAAGTGTGAGTGTGTGTGCGTGGGGGGGGGGGAGGAGAGAATGTTGGTGGTAGCAGAGGTTACGACTGCCCGGGGCATACATACAGGGAGGACATCCAATGAAAAATTTAGTTTTGAAATAAAGAGTTTATTCCATGTATCATCTATTTTGACATATTTAAAATGTCTTCCTTTCTCAGTACTAGGCTCTATAGCCCCCTCCCTCTACTTGAGTTTTAGGGGGGGTATACAATCAAGGAGTTGGCATCATCAAACCGCTGCATGCCACTGCTTGTAGAGGAGTTAGACACCTCCAAGTTTCCCCCACTAGGCAAAACCCAGGAAATTTCTTAAAAGGACCCAATATTGGATTATGATTAAGAGAATTTGTTTTTAAATAGAAAAAAAAAAAACAAAAAAAAAGAAAAAAAAAGAAAAAAAAAAGAAAAAAAGGAAGTGGTGAGCTCAAGGTTCAAAAGATTTTATCGTTATGTGATTTTTTTTTGACAATAATAGTTTGACGACTTTTGAAAATTTTTTTTTTTTTTGCTGCTTTATAGAGAATTTGTCTATTTTTAATTTTTATTTCTTTCGTTGTGGGTTACATGAACCCAGAGAGTAACTCGCAGACAAGCATTCTTACTTGGGATTTGATTTAAATATTTCTTACTTTAACTTCTGCTTACTCTTAGGTGCCTTACAGAAATGGGGGGTGGGACGTTTATTTTTGAGGTAATTTTCCGACCCCCCCACCTTGAGCTTGTTTAGATCACCTCGTTTATTATTTCGCACCACCAGAACTCAAACAGGAACCAGTAAGTGTTTTAAGGGGTGGTCCGAAATTCTTGTCACCTCGAATAATTTTTCTATTTCAGATGGCTGACACGTTCTGCTACAGTTTGGAAGAGAGGTAGAGGGTGACAAGACTTTCGGACTACCCTATAGTTGGTTCAAGATTTTATTTGTACGTTTTTATGATTGTTCATGTTTTTTTTTTATTCTTCCAAAATTACAATGAGCCATTCTTTAATTGGTAAATTTTCATTTTAACACCCGAGCGCTAATATCCCTTCAAATTTTTCCAAAATAGTCTTATTTTCGTGCAAATGTATATGCTGAACTCAAATCAACAATTAGATATTGAAGAAACCTACCTTTTTGGATGTTAACGACCCGAAAAAAATCGGACTTTTTCCTGGTCTTTCGTCAGCCATTACCAGCTTATTGATAAGTAATTCAGTGCTGAATTTTGTTGGTGGACGTATACAATTTGGGCCTATTTACTTTCTTTACAGTTATTCCTTGGAGAAATTAGTACGCGCTTCCATAAAGCGATTTTTTTTTTTTTTTACTTAATTTAAGAAGAAAGTTAACTTTCAAATATATGTAAACATCCACAAATAAAAGAATAACAAAGTAATTTTTTTTTTTGGTTATTCTTTTATTTTTTTTATTTTTTTTATAAGAAGAAACTTTCAAATTAGGGTTAGGTGTTTTTTTTTTTTTTTTTTGGTTATTCTTTTTTTTTTTTTAAAGAATAAAGTTAACTTTCAAATTAGGGTTAGGTGTTTTTTTTCTTTTGTTTTTCTTTTATTTGTCGATGTTTACATATATTAAATTAAGTACAAAAAATCGCTTTACGGAAGCGCGTACTAATTTCTGAAAGAAAATAGTTCAGCAGTGAATGACGCTCGGGTGTTAAAATGAAAATTTACCCTTTGATTTTTTTTAAAAATTATTTAATTCTTTACCCTTTCAATGATTTTCTTACTCTGCTTTTATTGAGACAGTTCGTTTATTGCATTGAGAAAACGTCCGACCCTGCAATTATTAATCCCCCACTTTTTTTTTTATTTTGTGTGTTATTAGGACGTAGAATAATAATATCCTAACAAAAGTGAAGATTTTGTTTTATAAAAAGAAATATGCGAATAAGTAATGGAGGTACCACCAAAATAGAGGAGTTTTTTTCCCGAACTGAAAGGAAAAGAAATCGCTGGCACTAATATTTTTTTTTAAATTGGTCCCAAAACTCGGGCAATTATCCGATGCAAACGAAATATTCAGTAAATAATCAATGAATTATATACTGAAAAAGGTTATTTTATAAGGAAGCTTTGTGGGAATATTTTGGAGAGCGAAAAGGGTGCGGGGTGGTAAACCCCGCACCCTTTTCGCTATCTCGTGTTTATTTTTTAATTTTGGTAGGGGGGAATCAAAATTGTTTTTAGTTAGAAAGAAAAATTCCTGAAGATATTATTTGAGTTAATTATGCAATAGCAAGTGTTAACATACGGAAAATTCTTGCCAAACCTTTCCAAAAATAATTCAGTAAACTCAAAAAATATTTTTTTGAGAAACATTTTCCTTCAAATTGAACAGAAAAAATAATTTAGACTTAATATTTATTTTTCAAAAATTTATTTATAATTTTTCAGTGCGATTTTGAAATTGGTCCCAATAAGTAACAAGTGATTAAAAAAAAATAAAGACATATTTGAAGAATGAAAAACTGTCAAGTTTAAGGCTATTTTCATTATCTTTCTTTTTTTTTATTGCAACTTTTTCATTGTTGTACGGAGCTTCAAAAAGGAAATAATTCTGAATTGTCTCTTTGACTACTCTTCCCTATCGCAAGAGTAATGATATATGATAATTCAATAATAAAAAATTCATAGGATGCAAATAAATGACATGAAACAGGTAAGAAAAATAAAAGCAATGAATTAAATTTAAAAATATCATTTCACTAGATTTAGTTATTTTTTTTTATACTTTTAGTAGTATTAAAAATAAAAAAAATATTCATTAAACTCACTTTCATAAACGCGTATAGAATAAAATATTCTGAAACTATTTATTAAAGCTATTTTGAAACAATGCAAATTTCTTTAATATTGTACTGCTGGTCTTCCGTATTTCTTCATTTAAAAAAAAAACACACCATTTTGAAGTCAGGAATTACAGTAGAAAACTACTATTGATGACCTATTATATCACAGATTACCGCGCATAAATAAACATGATGTTCATTACGTTTTAATAAAAAATTAAGCATTACTTTCACAAAATCCAGTTACTTCATCCCTAAATTTAGTAATTTACTTTGAAACATCTTTTCAGGACAAATATTAGATTTCATTTAGAGTTTTTAAAAATTATTTGTTGTTTACGCTTTTCGTCTAATGAAGTTTCGGTGAGTGAACGTGATATTATTTAAAATGACTCAAAACTTTTACATATGGACATTTATTTTTCTGTTAATACGGCTTAGTTTTGGGGTTATTTCTTTAAAAAATAAAACCAACATTTAAATTACTTAAAATGCGTTTTTAGTTTTTTTTTTTTTTTTTTTTTTTTAGGAAGTCCGCAGCGTTACCTAATGTAATAATGGTAATGGTTTTATTAAAATGCTAACTTGAAAATTTCTGAGTGGAAAGGTATTTTATATCGCTGTCTATAAGACACATACACACAAATATATATAATTGCGTATATTTTGGCAGTGTGTTTTCATTAAGATATGTCCCATTAAATAATTTAGACAAGTTTAGTCTACTTATTTTTAATTGGATCCTCCCATAATTACAGACAAGTTTCTTAGTGTCCTTATTAAAGGAAGAAAGAAAATTACCAAGTTGATGCGTATTCATTTTATTCCGAGTACTTTTGATATTAGTACAATGTCGTCATCCGGATTCTATTATAAGTAAGTAGACAAAACTTATCTAAATTAATTAATGAGATACACACACACACGTATATAAAGAAAAAGGGGGAGTAGACAAATAATAAAATAGTACCCATAAAAAATGACAATGTAGTATCTGTGCGCTCAATGAAAAGTGTCACACACACAATATATATATTAGTGGGCCACATAATGCGTTTTTTATATGCAAGGATTGTGGTTTGGTTTGTTTTACGGCATACCTCAATGGTTTATTTAATGCCAACAAGATTTTTATTGCTGGTAATATTTTTTTTTTCAAAAATGTATTGCTGGTATTAGAACCTATTTTTACACTTTCATAGTATTTTGACCCCAGTTTGGGGGTTAACTATTTGCCTATAGCTGGGAGCGTAACATGTGCTACCACCCTTGGTCAGGGTGGACCTGGGAACACCAGCAATTAAGAAGTAGTTCCACGTTCCTCAAAATCTCCTGATCAGAAAGCCTTGTTGCCGGATGTAGTTTATCGTCATACCCAGGACACCAAGGATTGTGTACAGAGCGCCTGCCGTAGCATGATGAGTAAGTTTTGTCGATCAATTTGTGAGTGTTGCGAGTTCGATCTTCACTGGGTAACCTATTACTGTAGCCTTGTGCTAATCTACACCAATCTTAGTCAATAACCATGTTATTCGAACATTAATTACAATGGCTGGCTCTCTTTTTTTTTTTTTTTTTAAATTACTCATGAGAAATTTAGAAGCTGACAAAAAGGATGAAATTTATATAATAAAGTTGATTCTCTCTCAGTCACAGCCTGTCTACGCGTGATTTTGAATTCGTGCATGTAATGTACAATGCATATATCTGTATTGTGCGTAAGTGACTTAATGTGCTTTTGATATTTGATGTACACAGAGTTTGATCGAGTTTAAAATAAGGTATTGGAATAATACTGAGTTCATTCTCTTTATTAAGTAAAATATTAATTAATAAACCGAACGAACTTTTTGATCAACCCAAAACATTCTCCTCCCTCTCAGTCTGGACAACTCCTACCCTGGGCCAAGAAATAAAATTGAAGTTTGGAGGTCAGAAAAAAAAATTATTAAGCCCTAAAAATTAGATGATTGTAAGATTTTAAGTTTTTTGAAATTATTCGGCAATAATAAATAGAATTATTTTTTCTTTTTTAATTTTGTATAAATATTTTTTAGGTTTGTCATTGAATTAAAATATTCATGCGCAAATGAAATTTAAATGGACATCTGTGTCATAACTTCTGTCTGCTAACAACACTTGGGTAACAGGAAAAAGAGGATATGGTGAAATATACGGCCCTTTGAGGTCATTTTTATGATCATTTTTATTTATTTTCTGTCTTAATTTCTAGGATGGGGAATTATTTACACACTATTTACATTCAGACTATTATCCCCATCTTTGTTGCTTTTATCACAACGTTTCGGACGTTGTGCCCACCGGCCTTCATCACGTGTGTATCGGTCTGTTTAGCCTACAAGGAATTCTGACTGAACACTTTATGTAATCTATGGGGTAGACTGTTCTCGTTCGACTGGGAATATCTCGTCTAGTTCTTATTTTTAGTACTGTTCAGTTATTGGTCACCCGTTTCCACACTACCCGGCTCAAGGATTGAACATACAATTGAATATGTTTTGTAATAAATGTAGTATTTTGAATAGAAAATATAGATTTAAAATTTGATTATCTTACTGCCAGTGAAGCGACGGGAATCGTGCTAGTAAATTGTAATATTACGAAAATATTTTTAAAATTAAAATTATTAAGAAATGGAATGAATTCGAAAGACAGTAAGAGACCAGTTTGATTTGTTTCATAACTGAATCATTACATTTTAATCTTTTTGCCATTAAACTGAGAAAAATAAGATTATTCTGTAATTCGTCTTAAAATTTCTATCTTCCTAATTATGTTTCGGT